AAAGGAAGGAAGGAAAAGAAAGAAAGGAAAGAAAGAGAGAGAGAGGAAAACTCAATGTATTTGTCCACTTAAAAATATTTCAGGGTGACTAACATATTTGTCAAGGAACTGGAGATAATTTTAGGTGAACTCAAAAACCATGTATGTTTTTAACACGTATGAATAGGGATGCCCTGAGGGGCACTTATAAGCTGTGCCCTCCCATGCTGCTTGATCATTTCAGCTTCTTTGCTTCATTCATTCCGTATTTAAAATCTTGGGCAGGAGCATCTGACTGGCCAAGACTGAGTTACACAAATGAGCCAAAACTTCCAGGGATGGTAAATCAAGGATCAGCCTCTTCCACTAAGACCTATATGATGGGAAATATCACAAACATAGGAAAGGGGCCCTTCAAACACCCTACAAATCTCCAGTATACTTGGCAAGCAATCCTTCCCAGCAGTCATTGTCACGTAAGTGAAACCACAGGCCATGTGGGGGGCTGAGGGTGGGGGAAGGAATTTTTTGCTTGAATCCACACTCCAGGGCATGTGTGGATGGGTATTCAGATGGGTATTCTCCATTCATGTACATTAGTGACATTGGGGACGTGGGGAGGGGCTGTAAGGAATGAGATTTTTAAACATTTTTAGCACCAGCTTGTAAAGGAAGTGTGAGCTACTTCCTTTTCTCATACCAGATGCTTCCTTAAGTCTTTTGCTTTCTTCCTTCCCATCAACATGCTCATTAACAAATTCAGAAAATATGGTTTTGATTAAGTAAATGGATAAACAAATGTCAAACCTGGGTGGAATAACAAACAAAACTAGTGATGTTTGCACAGAATTGGTTTTAGGCCCAGTATTCTTATTTCCTTTGGTGGTTTGCATAGTGGAATAGAAAGGTAGCTTATAACATTTCCAAAATAAATTTTCAGCGTGAGAAGAGATAGGCCCTTAATTTGGAATGGTTTAGATTTAGTAGAAGAAGTTATCAGAAATCATCCTTAGAAATGAGATTCATCTGCTGGAATGAGAAATCACCTCTTTGAGTGTCAATTTCTCACATTGAGGGAAGTGGCCTAGATAGAGCCCAGAGTTCCTTCTAATCTTACGCTTTCAGTAGTATGACAATGAAGAAAAACCAAGTAAATGTGATAGTCAGGGCTGAAAAACGTTCAGTAGTTTTTAGTGGTTTGTATGTGAATACGTTATTAAGGTGAAACAGTTGTAAAAGAAAAACCATCTACAGTTGAGTGCAGTGGTAGCTCTCAGCTGTTGGTTAGCATTCTTAGTTGCAAACAAAAAAAATTCTAATTTAAGCAAAAAAGCAATTTATTGAAAGGAACTTGGGCAAGTCACAGAATTTCCAGGAAAGCCAGGCTCAAGACTCAGGTGGAAATAAGAGCCCAAATTATGCCACAGAACAGAACATGGGACACACCTGTTATTGTCCGTAAATGCTGGATGTCCCTGCTGGCTTCATAAGGGACAGATGAATTCTTGAGCATTGCAGCTTCTTTGCTGCTTTTTTCTTTTCTAGATTTAAAGTTTTGGAAAGGAGTAGCTGATTTTGCACCTGGGCCCAAATTTCTGGGGATATTGAAATTAAGGATCAGACTCTTCCGTGAAGACCTATGCAACAGGGAACTCCCCTATACATAAGAAAGGGCCCATTCAAATTCCCTACAAGTTTCCACTACATCTGGCATACCGAGGATCATCTCTACCAGTCCAGAGGTAGGAGGAGAAGGGATAGCTTTTCATAAAAGTTATTATATTGTTCTACAAGTGAAGAGGCAAATATCTCTGTTTATTTAGAGTTTCACCTCCTAAAAAGGCACAGAGCTAAAAAACACATGCTTCTTGATGCATTAAAATTTAATAGTCCATTAGATATGGAGAGACTACATTAAATTCTGTCAGGATAGAAATAGTGAACGTTTGTTTCAGTTTTTGCAGCCCAGCTTCTGAACTTCCTTCTTATGTCTGCAGACAAGAACACCTGGTGCAGAATTCTTCACTGTGTGCTTTACTGTGATGTACAGGTTGCTAATACTTGACAAGCTGAAAATTCAAGACATGTCCCTTCTTAGCTTCCATTACAGCTATGTCTTGGGCACATGATATAGGCACCACAACCAGATATGCCTGCCCAGACCTTGGATTGGGAGCAGGCGACAGCGATGGGGATGGTGAGGAAGGCTCGCTGACAGCGGGGCAGTAGAGATGGTAATACTGGTGTGGCTGCCCCAAGTGCTGAGGGCCAGTGGTGTCAGCGGTACAGCTGTCCAATGTTTGATACTGGCCAAGAGGGGTCCTCCGTAAAGCAGTTCTGCAGTGTAATTTTGCGGGTTTTCCTGGCTGCATAACAGTGATCTTAATTGTCCAATCATCCTGGTGATTCTGTGATACCCAGGGCTCTTTAAATGATCTGTTTCTTTTAAATAAACCAGAGTATGCCTTTGGGAACTAAAACTCTGATTGATACATTTTGATACATATTGGTATGTATCCTCTCAAAATACCCAGCCTGGAGCCTGATATCCAGCGGAAGCATGGTAACTATTTGTTGCTGACAGGCAGGAAGAAAAGAAGGAAAGAAAAGGAGGGAAAGAAGGAAAGAAAGAAAAAGGATGGAGCATGCAGTTTGAAAGCTAACCGTTTTATCTTAAGTTGTAATTTTAAAGAATTGGGTTCACCCAAAAAGAAAAACAGGGAACCTGGAGAAAGTTTACTGCAAAGTCACAAGGACAAGAAAATTAGAGATTTATTTTGAGAGAGTCAAAGAATAGACTTGGTGCAGTGGCTCACGCCTGTAATCCCAACACTTTGGGAGCCTGAGGCATGTTGGATCATGATGTCAGGAGTTCGAGACTAGCCTGGCCAACATAGTGAAACCCCGTTTCTACTGAAAATACAAAAATTAGCCAAGCATGGTGGTGCACACCTATAGTCCCAGCTACTCTGGAGGCTGAGGCAGGAGAATCGCTTGAACCTGGGAGGTGGAGGTTGCAGTGAGCTGAGATCACGCCACTGCACTGCACTCCAGCTTAGGTGACAGAGCGAGACTTCGTCTCAAAAAATAAAATAAAATAAAATTCTGTGCAGAGATAAAAATATATGTATTATTACATAGGTTCTGCTGGATATAATAGAAACTCCAAATAACTGTTTTAAATAAAATGGAAATTTATTTCTTATGTTACAGTAAGAAGTAGATGGTAAGAGAGATGGTGTGGAGGTTTAATTCCATGAGTTCATTTAGGGATCCAAGTATCTTTTTTTTATTTTTATTTTTATTTTGTAGAGACAGGGTTTCACCATTTTGGCCAGGCTGGTCTTGAACTCCTGACCTCATGATCCACCCGCCTCAGCCTCCCAAAGTGCTGGGATTACAGGCATGAGCCACTTCGCCTAGCCTATCTTCTTACTATTCTATAATACTTAGCATATTGCCCCTACTTGCATGGTCCAATATGGCACACCATCATATCCATCTCCATGATCCAAGCAGCAGGATAGAAAATGGAGGCATGATGGGAATCCCCCTGTCATTATGACACATCCCAGAAGTTAAATATTTTACTTCCCATCACATGCAGTTTACCAGCTCTTAGTGATGTGGCCACACTTAACTGTAAGGGAGGCTGAACTATGCATTCTTTATTTTGTTTTTTTGAGATAGGATCCTGCTTTGTTACTCAGGCTGAGCTTGAACTCCTGGGCTCAAGCAATCCTTCCTTCTCAGCCTCCTGAGTAGCTGGGACTACAGGTGTACACCACTGCACCCGGCTAAGAATGCAGTCTTTATACTGAACCTCTATGCAAATGTCTACGAATAAAAGTTTCTGTCACTATGAGGGGGAGAAAAGATATTGGAATGCAGCCAGAAATCTCTGCTTCAATAAATAGCAGACACACTTTAACATATGGAATTAGATAAGAATATAATGGAATTTTCTCTGAGGGTTGCTGAACATTGCTGAATGTGAGAAATGCCTCCAGATGTCATAAAACGGGACATTCTTCATTTATAATGATATAGGTTGAGAGAAGGAACAGGTTATGCTCAGTCTCAGTCTTAATGTCTATATTCAGAAAAGAAAAGGGTAAAAGACTGGACTGAATGAAAGTTTAAAGGTCTTTCTTAGGGCAAATTGCTAAAGTGAAGAGCTGTATGCTTGGCAGAATGTAGTGTGCCTACCCAAACATTCCTTTGGGCCTTTGTAGAAAGTGTAATGGCCCATAAGGAGGTCAGAGAGGCCTTGGGGCTAGAGGAGACAGAGAAAATACCAAGGGAAATTTACAGATGACAAATGCATGGGCAAATTGGGTACAAGTTCAAAACTGTGGAAACAGCATGGTGAGATAGAGGGCACGTGCCGTCTGCGTTATCTTGCAACATACTACTGGGGCAAAGAGTAATGGGGCTCTAAGCCACTGGTGGTAAAGGCAGAGGGCAGTGTCCAGAGAATGACAGCTTGGGCAGAACCTCCTAGGGCCGTTGCTGCCCAGCTGACAGACTCCAGGGCTGACTCTTCTGAATTGTACTTTTTTTTTCTTTTGAAATGGAGTCTTGCTCTGTCACCCAGACAGAGTTCAGTGGTGCAGTCTCAGCTCACTGCAACCCCCGCCTCCTGGGTTCAAGCGATTCTCCTGCCTCAGCCTCCCGAATAGCTGGGACTACAGGTGCCTGTCACCATGCCTGGCTAATTTTTTTTTCTTCTAAAAAGTAGAGACAGTGTTTTACCATGTTGGCCAGGCTGGTCTGGCCAGCCTGACCTCAGGTCATCTGCCTGCCTCAGCTTCCCAAAGTGCTGGGATTACAGGCATGAGACACCACACCAGGCCCTCAATTGTACTTTCTAAAGCAGTCTTCAAGCAGCTAATTTCCTAGAAGACTGGTAATGCTTGGCCTGTCTTTACCACTTTAAATGTCTGCAAAAGCTTTGGATAGGCATTCTCTCTTCTAGTGCTCTCAGATCAACTGCTTCCTGTTGACCAACTCCTCTTCCTTGCCCCTCCCTCATTCCTGTTCTCCCACACTTGGTTACATTTCTTCCCTGCCATATACACCCCTCATTTTAGTAGGTCAGGGAGATGGATTTGAGATTGATCTCCCATCTCCTCAGCTATAGCAGCTGATTCAAGCCTTCTTCCCTGACAATATTCATTCTTTCAGTGTTTGGCTTTCTATGTAGAAAGTGGCAGGACCCAGAGATAACCCTTGACATTTTGGTAATACAATGATGATAATAATAGTTTCTAGGATTGTTGTGAGGTTTAAATTATTTAATACATGCAAAGAGCTTAGGACAGTGCCTAGGACATAGTAAGCACTCAATGAATGTTAGCTATTATTACAGAAAAATTGACTATTATTACTTCCATAATTTTCTTTTTTTTGTTTTTTGAGACGGAGTCTCACTCTGTCACCCAGTGTGGAGTGCGGTGGTGTGATCTGGACTCACTGCAACCCCCGCCTCCCAGTTTCAAGTGATTTTCCGGCCTCAGCCTCCCGAGTAGCTGGGATTACAGGTGCACGACACCACACCCAGCTAATTTTTGCATTTTTAGTAGAGATGGGGTTTCACCAGGTCAGGCTGATCTTTAACTCCTAACTTCAGGTGATCTCCCCGCCTTGGCCTCCCAAAGTGCTGGGATTACAGGCATGAGCCACTGCGCCTGGCCTAATTCCAGAAATTCTTCGTAGGAGTCTTCAATAGTGAGCATCTGTTGGTGTGCCTAGCAAGCCTACCACTCCTTGTTCTGGTAATGACACATTTCCTTACTCTGGGGAACTACCATTCTACATGGTTTCATTAGTCCTTGTCCCACTCAGATGCCAGGGCATAGAGATGGGCATCTGACCCAGGCTAGGACAGTCCTATGGTTCTTCATTTCTTTAGCAGCAGTGACTGGTTCAAAGTGTGGGCCTGGAATCCAAGGAGGGCCAATCAGAATTCTCCTTTGGCAGATGCTGACATAAAATAGTCAATCTTTCTGACAGGGCTGCTAAGCTGAGATAATGAAAGTTTTATTATCTTTCATGATAGAAGTGATAGAGGCAGCCATCTTCCTTGTCTGAACAGAGGAAGCCCACCTAAGATGGGAAGCAGTAAGGCCAATTAAGAAAGGACTAAGAGGTTGTGGCATAGGGTGGGGAAGAAAGGGAGAGACAGAGGCCTTATGAATTGAAGTTTTGGGGGCTGGCAACTGTCAACCAGCTCTTACAAAGAACTTCCCAGTTCGGAAGCTGGAAGAGACTCTTCTTGTGCTTAAGGTAGTTACTGTCATTGTAACTCAAAGAGTCATGGCTAGGAGGCCCTTTATACTAAATTTGTTCTTTTCCCTTTCCTTCCTGCCCTTGGACTTCTTTCCAGGCCCCTGATAAGGCCCTTTGTCTGAATTGGGATGGCCAGACTCCTCTGCAGGACGTGTCTCTCTTCTTGTCTTCAGGAGTTTTCCATCTCTAGCTAATATTCCTGGTTTCCTCGGTTGTATTCACCATCTGTGACCGAAAATCTTTATTTCTTCATTTCTTCCAAAGTCTTTCCTCATAGCCCTCCAATGGCCCTCCACCTTTATCACCTCAATCAACTTCCATGTTTTCCTTTGAGCTGATGTATCCAGCTCAGCTTTTACTCTTTGTTCTGCATCTGTGCAGCTGGTTCCCTATGTCTTGATTTTCTTCAGATCTTAATCTTGAGTCATTTGCATAAATGTGTTTCTTTTTGACAGGAATGTTACATACCAGCCCCCTTATACCTTGCCAACTTGGTTTTTTTAAATACAGAAGACACTTCTCTGCTGTTTCATACCCAAAACACTTCCTGACTACATAATTTTTTTTTTTTTTTCTGAGACAGAGTCTCACTCTGTCTCCCAAGCTAGAGCACAGTGGTGTGATCTCAGCTCACTGCAGCCTCTGCCTCTGTGCTCAAGTGATTTTCTGCTCCCAGTTATCTGAGTAGCTGGGATTACAGGTGCCTGCCACCAAGCCCAGCTTATTTTTGTAGTTTTAATAGAGACAGGAGTTCTCCATGTTGTCCAGGCTGGTCTCGAACTCCTGACCACAAGTGATCCGCCCGCCTCAGCCTCCTAAAGTGCTGAGATTACCAGGCGTGAGCCACCACACCTGACCTGACTACACATTTCACTCTGGAGGTTTATTGCTGCCTCATCTCCAGCTGCTCCCTATTGCAAGCAAAATTATCAATCCCTAAATGAAAAAACCACAGCAATTATTTTTGTTATTTTCATGTCGACAATTCTATTTCTCACTTATTCTCCAGTTCAAGCCTCAAGCTAGACCCTTTATGGCTGTTAAATTTTCATTGTTATTTAAAGGCCAGCTACATGGCTCTTCCTTAGATTATACTTCCAATTAATAAATGCAAAAGGAGTAAATAATATAAAAATTCAACATTAGGCAAATACTATAGTAATAATTGTTCCAAGGAAGAACCACTAAAGAATTCTAGAATTAGTGGACAAAGTCCAGTGAGAAACAGGATATATCATAATTTCAAAGAATCTCCCCACGAGATATTCATTACAAAGAGGGTAAATTGTGACTTTGCACTGGTGAATCCTAGAAGTCATCAAGGTCAACATCACCACTAATAAGACCCATCAGTATCACATAATGACGCTGTGATGCACGGAGAAGTGTACAACATCCCTTCTGTGAGGCTCTTAACAAAAATGTACAACCTCAGTCTAGTCATCAGAAATCACTAGATAAACCCAAAATGAGGAACAGTCTGCAAAATAACTGACCAGTATTCTTCAGAAGTGTCAGGGTCATGAAAGATGAGGAAAGACTGAGTAACAGTTACAGACTGAAGGAGACCAGGGAGACAGGACAGCTAAATGCCTATGACCCAGGACTGGAGAGGACACGTGGTAAAATTTCAATAAGGTCTGTAAATTAGGTAGTAGTATTCTATCAGAGTCAATTTTCTTATTCAGATCACTGCTCTGATTTAATGTCTGAGTTATAGCCTAGGCATCAGGACTTTTTTTGTTTTTGAGATGGAGTCTGTTGCCAGGCTGGAGTGCAGTGGCACGATATTACCTCACTGCAACCTCTGCCTCCCAGGTTCAAGTGATCCTCCTCCCTCAGCCTCCTGAGTAGCTGGGACTACAGGCACATGCCACCACACCCGGCTAATTTTTGTATTTTTACTGGAGACGGGGTTTCATCATGTTGGCCAGGATGATCTTGATCTCTTGACCTCTTGATTTGCCTGTGTCAGCATCCCAGAGTACTGGGATTCCAGGCATGAGCCACCGTGCCCAGCCGGCGTAAGGGTGCTTTTAATGTGCAAAAGGAAGAAGTATTACATATCAATGACAGCCTGGACACTAGCTTCAGCTTGTCTCACTACTCTTTCGTATTAAATCCTTGCAAAGATTGCACCTAGTCATTGCCTTGAGGGAACTCTGTGTTAGATTGGACTTCCTGGGGGAAGACATGGCGGATCAGACAGGAGCCAGGTCTGAATGGTGCTCCATCCTGTAGCTACTCAGGAGGCTGAGGCGTGAGACTCACTGGAACCCAGGAGGCAGAGGCTGCAGTGAGCGAAGATCGTGCTATTATACTCCAGCCTGGGTATATTCATTTACTTACATACACACTTATGGATAAATTTAATCAAAGAGGTGTAAGATCCACAACTGACAACTATGAAACATTGATTTATAAAATTATCAAAGACACAAATGAAAATATATCCTGTGTTCATGGATTAAAATAATCAATATGGTTTAAATATCCTTACTACTCAAACAGAGCTCCAAATAGAACTCTTACCTGATAGGTCAACAATGTAACCAGTCAATAGCCAATGTTTTTCCTGTGAACCAGTAAGAATTCCTGAGCAACTTTTGTATTTGTGTGTGTGTGTGTGTGTGTGTGTGTGTGAATTTTTACTTAATCTACAGATTCAATGATATCCCTATCAAAATTCCTATATCATTTTTCACAGAAATAGAAAAAACAACCCTAAAATGTATATAGAACCAGGGAATATCATGAATAGCTAAAGCAATCTTGAGCAAGAACAAAGGTGGAGGTATCACACTTCTGATTTCAAAATAGATTATAAAGATGTAGTCATTAAACAGTATGGTATTAAACAATATGGGCAATAGAACGAGACTGTCTCAAACAAAAAATTCAGACGTGTTTTTCATCAGCTCTTCAGAGATCCAGGCAGGCTGGAGCACCAGTCGCCGTTGGCAAAGGCCAGCTCAGTCACACATGCTTGCGTGGCTTTTCCCTCTCTGTTTTCCTCTCACTGTCCTGTCCTACTGCTCCTGGAATCACATTTCTGAAAAAATGACTTGCTCACAAGTTCCGAAGGCTCTATTTCTTTTCTTTTTCCTTTTTGACATGGAGTCCTGCTCTATTGCCCAGGCTGGAGTGCAGTGGTGCAATCTCCGCTCACTGCAACCTCTGCCTCCCAGGTTCAAGCGATTCTCCTGCTTCAGCCTCCCCAGTAGCTAGGATTACAGGCATGCATCACCAAACTAAGTTTTGTATTATTAGTTTAGAAGGGGTTTCACCATGTTGGCCAGGCTGGTCTCAAATTCCTGAT